CAGGGCTGTCAGGAGCACATTCATTAGAGCCTGCTGCCACGTGCCTGATTCCAGTAGAAGCCAGAGATGGCGCCATTGTGCCCACGTGAGCGCCGTCTCCACGGGTAGGACATTAAGCCCAGAGGAAGATGTGTGTGCCACATCTGAGTAATGAGCCATGAAATTGACATTATAAGTTTTAATTATTATTAATGCCTTGCAGGGGTGGCTGGTGTTAATTGTCCTGTAGGCATCCCAGATGGGTTTTCCCTTTTCCTTTTATTTCTTTTTCTTAATGTCTTGAGCCCAAATAATGGCGGCTTAGTGACAATGTTTGAATGAAATTCCTCTAAAGGGGAGCACGCCACAGCGTGAGAAGTTCTTGCAAACGCGTCTGTGGGCAGAAAGCAAACAGGCTCTGGAGCAGCTGGCCACCCTCCTGGGTGGGTGTGGAGGCTGGGACATAGAGGCCTCCGGGTTGCTGCTGCGAAATCGGCAGAAATCTTTTCTCCCCCATAATAGCATCTACCTGCCCTAGGCCCCTTCCATGCACTAATTAGTTAATCTTATAAAGAGCTTTGAAGATGAAAGACTCTGGAGGTGCCGGGTGTCACCCATATGAGCATTTCCTGATGAGATCCAGTTCCTGGCTGCTGCTGCTCCTCCAAGTAAACTGCCTCTCGGCACCTTCCTTAACTCTTTTTTTTTTCTTTCCCTCAGAAATGTGTCCTGCATCTTAAAAAGATTCATTCCCCCTTGGTTTTGCTCTGTCAAATCTGAGTCTGGCAGTCTGAGATGGGGATACAGGGGGCTCTCTTGCCTTCTCTCTCCTACCTTCTCTCTCCCCTACCCTTCTCCACTTCTCCTGGCTCACCAGCCAGCAAGGCAAACAGACCCCACCTGCAGCCCGCATGCTCTCACAGCTTGCTTGCTCCGAGAGTCATGCTCTCAGTCCCAGCCTCAAGGCCAGCAGGTGGGTTGGGGCCAGCAGGTGGGTCACCACCTGTGGAGTGGTGGCCAGGAGTACAGTCTCTAGTCTGTCCCTGCTTCTGCCCTGCTCCTGCCCTGGTTTCCTTTCTTTTTCTTAGACACAGGGTCTTGCTCTGTCACCGAGGCTGGAGTGCAGTGGTACGATCGTTACTCACTGCAGCCTCGAACACCAAGGTTCACTCAGTCATCTTGCCTCAGCCTCCCAATAGCTGAGACTACAAGCACTTGCCACAATGTCTGGCCATTTAAAAAAAAAAAAATTCTTTCTTTCTTTTTTTTTTTTTTTTTTTTTTTTAGAGATAGGGTCTCAGTATGTTGCCCAGGCTAGCCTTAAACCCCTGGCCTCAAGTGATTTTCCATCCTCAGCCTTCCAGAGTGCTAAGATGATAGGCGTGAGCCACCATACCCGGTCCCAGATACTTCTTTTCTAACTTTACCCCCTGCATCCCCATCCAGGCCTGACTCAGGACTAACCTGAGTGCCTTTGAATTAACAGCACATAGAGGGGACCTGCTATGCAGGGAGAACACTCCTGGGGCCTGAGGTCATCAGGGTGAACAGCACAGCCTCGTCCTGGGGGCCTTGGTGGCATAGAAGTGAAGGAATTAGGAAGGTGGCTGATAGAGTTAGGATGGCTGGTGAGTGGCTGATGGAATTAGGAGGGCACAGTTGGTAACGGGGGAGCAGTATGGGTTTCAGAGGGAGTGAGAAGGGCAGAGGAAGTAGCATGGAGCTCTGTCTGCAAAACCCTGCAGATTCTAGGTTCCAGAAGTACAGACTTCTTGTGACTGAGGGCGCTGTCTGCTGTGGCTGGGCAGGTGTGCTGAGGCCAGCTTAGGGGACCTCGGCCGCTGTGCCGAGCTCGGATCCCCTGAGGTCAGCAGGCAGCCACTGAAGCTCATAAGTAGCAGGTGTGTGAGCTTGGCCCTGCATTTGGGCATCCAGCCCATGACAGGCTGATGAGCCAGGAGACCACTGGAGGAGGTTTGCACTGGGCGCAGGATAGATGGCATGCAAGGCAGCGGGAGGGGGAGGGTGCATGGCCCTCTGGGTGAGAGCTCAGAAGTGGAGTTGGCAGGATGAGTGCCCAGGCCAAGGGAAAGGGTGGGCACAGGGGTGACTGAAGGTCCCTGCCCAGCAGCTGAGTGGGGATTCCATGGCCACAGGAGGTAGGGCTGGGAGGGACAGACGACGGCCTCTAGGAGCTTGTGGATGTCCAGCAGAGCAGGCAAGCAGGCATCTGGGTTCATATCAAGTCTGCTAATCAGAAAGGACATCACAGGCACAGGTTGATTTGAGGGTCACTGGCACAGAGGCAGGTCAAGCTGGGGTCTGCGACAGTGAAGGGGGGCGTCAAGGAGACCTGCAGGCCACAGTGCTGATGCCAGTGAGGCCATGGTCCCTCCGGAGAATTCATGAAGGGCAGAATCCCCCTGTGAATCAGGAGTGTGTGCCTCACAGAGTGCCTCTGTCCTGGGCGGTGGCCTACAGCCCCAGGCTGCCTGGTGGAAGGTGCCTCAGTTTCTCTGGCCCTACACCCCAGCTTTCCCTGCCACACTACCTAAGTCGGGGCCACAGTTACACAGTGTGGGTGTGAGTGGTGTCTTCAGGGGGCCTTTATGTCAACCAGTCTAGAGAAGGCCGATGGTGGGGAGGCCGGGGAGGAAACACAGTGTCCCCTTCTCACAGGGGCATTGCAGGGAGGTGTGTGTGCTCAGATAGCACGAGCTGGCTGCAGAAGGGAGTGCCGCATGGAGGCAGGTGCAAAGCTGGCCCTTCCTGCCCGCAGTTGTTACCAGTGGTAGCAAAAGTCACCAAACAGCCACCAATTCTATAGCTCTTATAACACGGCTTTTAAGCCTTACCCCTGTGATTTGGGAATGAAAGGAAATGGAGTCATTCCCTGACAAAGCAAAGCTTTTTTGTGTGCATCTTGTTGAGGCTGGTTTTTCAACTTCACAGCATGTTTTTTTTTCTTACCATCCCTTTAAAACCGCTTACCTTGATGGATATCTAAGTGTCTCCATGTAGCCAATAGTGAAAATACTCCCATCATGCAAATACATGTTATATTTAACTTATAAAGTGTTCGTAGACTAAGTTCTATTAGAACAAGGAACCTTACTCTGTCTTTTTTTGTAAACTTAACCAAACAGGCTGGACCAGGGTTTCTTAACCTGCTGATGCTCTGGGCCGGGTCTTTCTTTGTAGCAGGGACTGTCCTGGGCATTGCGGGGTGTTTGGCAATGTCCCTGGCTTTTACTTGTTACATGTTGGTAGCACCCCACCTTCCGGTTGTGATAGCCAAAAATATCTTCAGACAGAATTGTCCCAAATTGAGATTCCCTGGCTGGCGGCTGAGTGGCCCCTGTGTGGCAGTGGAATTATTCTGATGGCCTGCAGCCAACTGCCCCTTCCAGTTTTTTTCTGATCACAGTGCTTGTCTTGCAAATTACCCCTTGCCTCCACTCTCTAAAATTGGGGCTCGTTACACACTATTGTGCTCGCACTACAAAGCTATCCAGAATGAGTATTATTGGAAGCAAACGGATTTTTTTTTCTCTTCGAGTTCTGCAATGAAAAATCCTCTGGTGTTACTGTTTAATTGGTCAGTGGTGGCTGCTTGTCAATTTGCCAGCAGGCTCTCTCTTAACTGCTGTCGTTTGACGTTGCTGAAACATAAATGTAGAATGATTGAGTTGCCAACATGCTATTAAGTCCTCCACAAAGAGTTTTTCGATGTACTAGTGCTTCAGGCTTTTGTGCTTCTATTGATTGATTCGAATACTGAAGAACTCCTTGGCATAGGCAGCCCTGGTGAGAAAATGCGGCTTCTGGTAGGAAAATCGTTGGGTATTGACACCCGGACAATGCAAGGCTTTCCTTTGGTTTTCCTCTGGCACAGGATTGACCTCTGACAAAGCTCCCACAGTTGAGCGGGTGTTGGCCACCCATAAAGGAAAGGGAGAGAGGCCCGTGTGGCCAGATGGTCATGATGAGACAGGGCCAGTTAAGAGAAGCCCAGGAAGTGGACGAAGACATCACATCAGTTTCGGGATTCTTTGACAGGCTCCTTATCGCTGACAAGCAGAAGCAGCCTAGAATCTTGTTTGGATTTCAGAGCTAGTCATGGTTTGAGACCGAGGATGACAGAACAGGTGCAGACAGATTGGTTTTCCTCCAACGGATACAAGAACGTCGCTCATGTTAGGAGGATACAGTCTTATGCCCTTGAAAATGTACTTCTGGAACAGACTGCTACAGGTACACGCAGCAGAAAGTTGTGTGTCATGGTTGGGGGTCTGTGATGGCCGGGGACTGCTTGTTAGGACCCCTGTGCCTGGGCACAGCTCTTGTGCTCTTCACAGGCTGTTTGTCATCGTCCTCGTGTGTGTGCTGCTGGCCATGAGTCTGCTGAGTGGGACGCTTAGCACGACGGATGCCATGCATGCCTGCTGCTCAGCTTCAACCCCTGGAGCATGCTCTGAGTTGCTGTGACTATTACGTAGAAGAAGTAAAGAAAAAAAAATTGTTGGATACTTGCTAGAAATCTGGCAGCTTCTTAGACTAAAATGCCTGAGAAATAGGAACCAATGGAAAGTGATTCAGCAGAGTATTGGCTAAGAAATTCTGAGCCCAGACCCCCTGGGTTCAGATTCCACCTACTGCTCCTAGGTGTGCGCCTTGGGAAAGTCACCTTCCCTCTGTGTGCCTCAGTGTCCCCATCTGTACATGAAGATAAGCCAGCACCTACTTCAGAGTCCTTTCTGCACAGAATGAGGTGGTCTGTGTGGAAGGCCCCAGACAGTATCCTATTTAGGAGGAATGGCTATGATGGGGACCCTCTTATCTCGGTGGGGCCTCGGTATGTGCGTGTTCCTGTGACAGGCTGTTTCTTTAAAATATTTTCCACTTGTGGGGCACTTTGTATGCACCCCCAGGACACAGAAAGCCCCCGGGAAGCCCCGGCCTGCCCCGGCAGATCCACTCTGGGCACTGGGAAGGAGCCTGCCCGTTGACCACATGCTGTCTCTTGCTTGCAGAATCCCTGCCTGCTTCCCTATGGCAAGGCCCTCTACAGCTACGAGGGGAAGGAACCCGGCGACCTCAAGTTCAACAAGGGGGACATCATCGTCCTGCGGCGCAAGGTGGATGAACAGTGGTACCATGGCGAGCTGCACGGCACACAGGGCTTCCTCCCAGCCAGCTATATCCAGTGCATCCAGCCCTTGCCACACGCCCCGCCCCAGGGAAAAGCACTTTATGATTTCGAGATGAAGGACAAAGATCAAGACAAGGACTGTCTGACCTTCACCAAGGTAAGGTGGGCCCTGGGGTGGGCCCCGCCAGCCCGTGCAGCCTCTGTGCCACCCAGGGCTCTTCCCAGCCACAGGCCTGCAGCCAGACAGTGCCTTTCCTCAGATTCTGAATCCTGGCTCCTCCCAGAACCCTGAGCAAATGACCCAGCCTCCCTCCCTGTGCCTCCGTGAATGGGGTGGTAGTTTTTTTGGTTGAATGCTATGGAGGGCAGCAGCCTGACACACAGCTCCAGCTCAGAGCTATATGAGAGCTTGAGATAATATGAGCCTCCATCAGCACCAAGAGCAGAACCCGCAGTTAACCTGAGTCATGGGTCTAAGCGCTGACCCAGGTGTAGCGGAATGACGCCTTTCAAGGACTCTTGAGGTCCCGCGAGAGGGGCTTATCAGGGGAAGCTGCTACAGAGACCCTGGTCAGCTCACAGGGAGGTGACAGCTGGGGCCTCACATCCGTGCATCACCGCCCTGTCCTCTAAGGCACCTGAGGCAGGGCCAACCAGGTGCATAGGGAGCCCTGTGAAGCAAACACCTGGGAGCAAACGTAATAGTACTGACAGGTGAAGTTGAGTAGGAGGGCTGGGTGAGGTGCAGAAGAGACTAGTTCTGGCTGTCCTGGCAGTTGCTGTTGAATAATTATCTGTACCAAGTGCTCAACCAACAAGCTCACACTTGGTCTTTACAGCTGTCCCAGGTTCCAGGGGAAATAGTTGGAACCTTGTTTTCTCCATGTGCAAACCAAAGCTCTGAGAGGCTTTGTAACTTATCCAGGCTGGTTGCTAGGTCCTCTCTCCCTCCTGCTTCCCCTTCCTCCTTTTCATCTTCATGTCCTGTCTCCTGTGTCTCCTCCATCCCCTGCCCCTCCTACACCTGCTCCACGCGGCCCCCAGATGTAAATGACAAAGCCAGAATCCTAATGCAGATCTCTAATGTTAACACTCAACATTCTTCCCACCTCCCTACACAGGCAATTCTTCCCTTATGTCAGCCTCACGGTATTTTAGATGGCAAGAAGTCATTGTGTTCTCTCTCCTCACTCGTTCTGTCTTGCCTGTGTCTCTCTGTGTCAGTGTTTCTCTCTCTCTCTCTCTCTCTGTCACACACACACACACACACACAGAGTTGTAAATAACAGAACTAGAATTCTAACTCAAATCTCTGCTTCTAAAGCCCACATCCTTCCTGCCTCCGAGAGGCCACTGCTCTCTCCCCCATCTGCTGAGTGCAGAGCTCGGCGGTGGCACGCTCTGGAGGGCGGTAGGAGAGCCATGCACGCTGTTTTTGAGCAAAATTGGCATGTCCTGCGCGTGGCTGCTATTTATGTCTTGTTCTATTGTTCAGCCTGACAGTGAATAATCTATTTTTCATTCAGGGATTCAACTCCTTCTCCCTTCCTTTTATCAAGGTGTTCTGATGCTAATTCCGATTGTCATCTGGCTGCACAGCTTCCCAGGAAACTGCACCGGTGCCTCCCTCCCTCCCAGCTCAGTCGGAGGGCGAGAGGAGCAGCTTCCTTGGGCTATTTTTAGGCACACAGAAACCCACCTTGCTTCTCTGCCCAGTGGACTCTTCTTCCCCAAGAGAAGACCTGGGGCCACTGGTGGCCCGGGTGGTCTCTCATGATCAAGAGCAGGGACCTCTGAACTCTCAGGGTCCGGTCACGGCCTTGCTAAGGAGACAGACCCCGTAATGGCTCCAGGTTCCTCCAGGCTTGGCAGGCTCCAGCTGCAGAGCCCAGGCCCTCCTCCAGGGGCCTCACAGGAGAGCCCGCTGTGAAGGGGCTGTCGCAGGGCCCTGGAGCCTGTGGGCAGGCGCAGCTTCTCTGGGCGGGAGCAACTGCCGGCCTTTCCTGTCATCACCATATAACGTGCTGCATTCAATGGGCCCCTGCCCAGGATGGGCAACCCCAGGCTGAAGGCTAGAGCCCACTGGACAAGAGGACAAAGGGCACCTGCCCATTATTCCACAGAAACATACTGGGCCCTGACTCCGTGTCGGGTACTAGACCTGCTGTGCTGCCCTCTGGAGCCCAGTGTCAGGTGCGGGAGACAGGCCAGTGGAGAATGTGCAGAAGACAGGCCAGAGGCTCATGAGCTGCATCGGATCACCAGGGGTAGGCCAGGCATTTAGTGTGGGCTCCTGAGTAGTCAGTGATGGAATTCCATGTTCCATAATTCGCAAGAAACAGTGAAATTAGAGCCGTCAGGCTTAGACTCATTCTGTGGTTGGCATGTGGAGTGGGGGTAGTCGAGCAGGGGTCCGTGTGTTCCCAGGTGGCCAATGTCACCATCAAGGTGGGCGTGGCTGCCCAGGCTCTCTAGAAGGTGACCTCTGGGTTGAATTGAGGGCAGAGGCACCAGCCACGGGAGGCCCAGCGTCTCCTGTTACAGGATCTGTGACGGCTCCCACAGGAGGCGAGGGGGAAGTGTCAGATCACAGATTCTTTGTTCAAGGACTTTCTTTACTTGAATCCTGTGGGTTAATGTGGAGAATTAGAGGCCTTTTGGTGTGATCCCCAGAGGGACCTGTGCTGTGACACGACCTTCCTGCCACGCCCCTGTGCCCACTTTCACCCTCTGACCTCCACGGGGCGAGGTCGGGTAGCAAATGGCCACCCCTGCTACCTGTCCTGTCCTGTTGCATCTCTCACTCCCCAATGTCCGCAAATAAAGGCTCCAAGAGACATGGGCAACTCCACATGACTCTCTGCTCAGTTCCTGTTTTCCCCCACAGTGGGTCCGACCCACCTCACTTCCCCCGTGCCTGGCATGCGGCCGAGGTGACACACTGGCTCTGACAGTCTCCCTGTGAATCAGACCTCCAGGAACCAAATGGTTCCTGTGCTGCAGCGTAGGTGCTGGTTCAAGCCAGCTTGGTCTCCCCTCTGGGGAATGTTTTTATTCTTTGGGTATGTCCTGTCCCAGAGTCAGGTAGGAAAGAAGGGTCTCTGAAAGCTACGATGGTGTAACCTGCCTTTATACAGCATCACTGTGGCAGACTGATGGAGTTTAAAGTAGGTGGATCAAAGCAAGATTTTTACCTTTGGTGTGTGCTTTTGAATAGTCCTGTTAAAGGGGCATTAATTAAAGTCCTTCTAAAATCTAGTCTTTGCTTTATTTCAGAAGAGAATGAATAATCAGTTTTTGTAAAGCAGCTTTAAAAAATGACATTTTATTACTTCTTAGTAGTCCCACTCCAGAAAGCTGGGCATGTGCAAATAAAAAGATGACAGGTAGGAAGAGCTGTGGGCTCAGCTCTGCCAGCTGGTTTCTGAGGAGCCTCCACACGTGCTGGGCCAGTCACCCGGGAGGGGCTGGCCTTGGCAGGGCCTTGCAGTGAGGGCCCCATGCCAGCTGTGTGACTTAGGGTGACATATAACCTTGCTGGGCCAGGAGCACCTTGTCTTCCCAGTCAGGATGCCAGTGTGCACTCTGGGGTGATACAAATAAATTGCTGAGCCTAGGGCTTGGAGCACAGGAGGGGAATGTGAACTACTATTTTCTTTGAGTGGCTAATTCTATATTGTCTTACTCAGTTCACCTGCAAGATTTGGCAAGGGTTTATTGAGCCTCTACTTTGTAGCTTTCAGTTAATGGGAATATTGTGGTCGCCTTGCCAAGCAGCTGCGTTTGCTGTGCGGGGCCTGTGCTGCTTTTCGTGAGTTCCAGCTGGGATGCTCAGGCATCCTCAGAGGCTGTGGAGTTTTCTTAGAGAGTGCCCGCTGATCATGGAATCACTTTTGCACATGACTGCAGCGGGGCCCCCAGGCTTGCCATGTCTGCCCTAATCCCCACCAGGTGTGCCATGTGAAGGAGCCACAGGGCTTGGTGGCTGCAGCCACTGCGTTGTCCTAACCCTCATCTCGCCCTCAATTTGTCCTGATCTAGTCAGACCTTAAGACTCTTCCATGTGACCTTCATATGCTACTGAACATTTAATCATTTCTCAAAAGTATGGGAAGTCTTACCTTTGTGAATTAACCTAGCATTCATTCCAAACTCTGCTCTTCTGATCCTAGGGACAGATGTAGATGGATAAAAATCAAATATAGATAGAGTTCGGGTTCTAGCATGAAGTAGACACAGATGCAGATCATGGCACTTTTCTTGAGTAATGCATGGTGACTCGAACATTTACTTAGTCTTTGAGTTGCTTTTTTTTAACTACAAATGCAGTTGATATTAGGATTACATGAGCAAAGGCATTTTAAAACCCAAGCTCAAAATAGGCATTCCAATAAATATTTGCTGTCTGCCCTCTGCTTTCTTCCTGTCTCAGGAAAAGTTGCACTTCTGTCAGATGGTACGTATCACTTTTTATGTTCGCCCAGAATATTTGCAGGAAAGTAAGCCTCCCTCCTAAAGACAGACTGCATGGAGAATGAGAACTTGCAGGACTGGTCTGCTATGCTTTTACTTTCCTGGTGGCTGAATTTCAGAGCGGATTGCCTGGGGGTAGTGGGGCTCAGCCCTTTTGTGTCGAGGCCGTATTCCCAGCAGAGCCAGGCGATGGGCAAGCTTCCAAATTTGCAGTGTCATCTCTGCTTCTTCCTGACTGAGAATTGACATTGCTTTGGGGGTTGAGAAGATGAGGAAACTTTAGCTTTACATCTTTTCATATCATGAGATAGGCTGGTGCAGAGCTGGGGGCTCCATGTCATTCTCTGCCTTCCTGGGCACCCTCTTGGGCTACTTTACCCTGAAGTCATCCAAGAAACTCAGGGAACCAGTTCTCCTTTTTGACTCCTTGCTTCATGGATTTCTCCCCCCAGGCTCCGTGCACCTGCAGCCACCTCTGTGCACAATGATAACTCCTATGGAGGAGGCTCAACTCGCAGGGCACGGGGCAGAGGGGAGCAGAGCACCCTCGCAGCCCCTGCAGACCACCCTCACCCAGCCTCTTCTGACAGCAAAGGGAGTTTGGAGAAACTGCACAGATAACAGTTTTGATTTGCAGGCAAAGCTTGGGCTGTATCTGAAGCTTTGCCAGAAATTTTCAGAACC